AGACCGGCATTCCTGCAGACTATACATAAAAAATTTTAGTTATAGAAGAATAAAAAATTGTATAAGATATCCTCATATAAATAATATTAATATAAATTTAAACATTATTAAATCTTTTTTAAATTTAATATTATATACAAACAAATTATATTACACTAATTTAATATAATGTAAAAATTCTTAAAATAAATACCATATAAATTTTATTTTATTTTCAAAGAACTCTGATAAATTTTGGAGGCAAAAATAATGAGGTATTGGCAGTGCATTGTATCACTTGGCCATACAAAAATATTAAAAATTCTATGAAAATTCAAATAAAAAAATTAATATAAAATAAAATATATCAATCCTACAAAATTATGTATATATATACTAATATAATTTATATTATGATAGGCCTAAAAAGTATTGCATTTATTTTAATTATTGTTGCATATGAATAATCTAAATTGCATTAATCTTAAAGTAAATCTAATAGTTTTTATATTTATTCTGATACAAATTTTATTTAGAATATCCTAACATATTTTTCCTCTCATAATTTCATAAGAGATGTATATGTAATAGGGGTGTAAGTGAGTCAAGCCGACTCGTGAGCAGGCTCAAGCCTAGCTCGATAAATGGATAGTGAGCCGATCTCAATGATCTAAGGCGACAAGCTTGAGCATGCCTCGACTCAACTAGTTAGCTCGTGAGTTGACTCATTTAAAAAATATTAACATAAAATATACTTAAAATTTATTAGGATTCAAGATTCTACATGCAAAGTAGTTAAAAATATTTAAAATTTATATCTCGCTTTCATACACAGTAATTTTTTTATTATTCTTATAATTTCTCTCTTTTTTAACCATTTTATTATAATAATGCTTAAATCATAATCATTTTTCTCTTTTATAATAAACAAGCTAGCTCACGAGCCGGCTCGAATTCATAAAATAAACCTCGAGCTCAAACTTAATAAATTAATCAAACTCAAGCTCAAGCCGGGGGTGTCTCATTTGCCCCTCAAATAGGTAATAATAATATTTTTCATATATTCTCTCTAAAAATTAAAAAAAAATATATGACATTGAATAACTAGTTTACAAATTGCCTTATGAAGAAAGAGATAGCTTTCATTCTTCCTCAAAAGTTTTCATTATTGTTCTCTATAGAGCACTTCAAGCAATTGTTTGATTTTCAGAAAAGAAATTTATTAAAAATTAATATAAGAAAAATTCTCCCATGGAACTAATAAGAGAATGTGAAGGGAGAATGGCTAAGACAATAAGGGATTATGATGCAAGAGGCAAAGCACAAGTCTTTATTCCAATCCTTAACTTAGCCATGTCTTTTATTCTTAGGCTTTAAAGGAAAACCTTTTTAAGATGGCAACTCTCTACCTTTGGAAATACTCTTAGATCCTTCTCGCTAAAATTTGATATTCTTAGAAGCATTAAAAAGTTTATTTTTATTTTTGCAATTATATATCTATGATAGATGCTTCCAATGAATCCTTTATGGTCATGGACTGGTTCACCATGATCTTAGTCAAAAAAACAAAAAAATTAATATTTATAGGGGATTTTTTGAAATATTTTGAGTATTTTAGGCATCCCCCCCCCCCCCTCAAATTTTAGGCACCCCCCCCCCCCCCCTCAAAAATATTTTTTATCTTAATTTTATCAATCCTAGGCATCTTTGCCCATCCCCCACAAAAAAAAAAATTTTACCCACCCTGAAAAAAAAAAGCTGGATCCGCCCCTGTTTATGGTGGTTAGTAATCATATAATTAAGTAAATATTGGTGTATCACACATTATTTCTCTTTTAATTCAGGTTTCGTTTGAGTCAGCTTTCTTATTGATTTCTAAAGTAGTTTTTTAGTAAGAGAATTTCTAGCTTAAAATAATTTTATACTAAACAATTGTTTTATAAAACAATATGAAAGTTATCCCAGCTTATTACTTTCTAAAACAACTTTTTAGTTTCAAAATTTCTAATTCAAACAATTTTTATACTAAAAAATTACATTAAAAAGTAGTAAAAAAATCATCCCAAATGAAATCTTAGTTCTAAATTAACTAAGTTTTTATCAATCATAACTAATCTAAGCAAGCTTAATATTCTATTTAAAAATTGAATGAATTTTTATCATAAAATCAGATTTGAAATTAATTTTGTAAATGATATGAAGTTCATATTTTAGATATTTATTTTATTTTAACTTGAACTTCAGCTATAGTTTGTAGACTTTGTGATTCCTACTAAAATGAATCATGGTTAGATTAGAAAGGTAAAATTTTCAAATTTTATATTCTTTGGTTATCAAAATCTATTAACTCACACTGTGTACATCCCCTAATGATAATTAAGATAAGCCTTCAAATTTGAGGACCAAGTGATTCACAAACTTTTATAATTATATTTTTATACTTGGTTTGGCCTCTTGAGTATGTCATCTTCAATTCAATTATAATTATTACTAGTAGCAAGGTTTATCCTACTAACCCGATTGAAAAAGAGTTTTCTAAAATCATACTACAATTTGCTGAAATGAAATGTTCAATAAATGAAAGTGCCTTAAACCTATAATTGTGATGAAAAGCATGTATTCCAAAGTTTGACTCTCTTAATTAAATTTAACTTATTTAATTATTTATTTAATAGAAATATATTATATACTTATTAGTCTAGAGCATTTTCTCCTCTCTTTTTCACCTTTTTTTTCATGAACATTCATGTTGGTGTTTAACTCTCTTATTTTTACAGTTCCACCTCTCATTCCACACTTCCGAATTTCGGCACTTTTTAAGTTTTCACAGTTGGCTTAGGGTGGTTGGTGAGCGAGCACAGTTAGAAACCCCCCATCATGGGTTTGAATTCCCTCTGCTATAGCCTCGTCTTTACAGTGGTCAAAACAAGTGTGATCTCGATGTCTGTGAGTGGTCTCGCTAGATTCCACCGAGGAATTAATTACGCCACCAAACCCTCCCTTTGGAGTGGCAGCGGGTGCTCTTGCCTGAATGAGCGTCTACGGAGATTGAGACTCGCATGAGCGCAAGTCTACATGATATGAGCACATCTTATATTTTTCTCCTACTCAAACCCCCTTGTAGCTGACATGCTGACGAGCAATCTTTGAGCAAATCAACTTAGCCGTATGATTTATTCTAAAAGATTAGGGTACATATTTACCATTCTACAAACTTAATTAAAAGCTTAATGAGACCAATTCTAAGCCAATCAAATTATAAATAAATAAACATAGAAAAAATTATGCAATTGCTAAAAATACAATCGTGTAAAACAAACAAAACAAATTGCATAAATAAAATTGTGAATTATGGAAGAAAATAAACCAAATATTTGATAAGCTACTCATTGCTCAACTCAATTAAAACTCATTAACTAAACAACTAGTTACCCAACTTAGTTATGATCATGAATAATATTATTTTAAACTAAATAAAAAACTCAATTAAAACTCATTTGTATATAACATAATTAGCATAACATAATATCTTAATTTATAGACATAATTCATGCTTGTGTGTATTGTGTTAGTGTTAGCAATAAATGGCTCATGAGCCGAGCCCAATGAGCTAACAAGTCAAGCTTGAGCTAGACACAACTTGACTCCTTAACTTATGAGGCGACTCATTTAAAAATATTACAATAAAATATACTTAAAATATATTATGATTCAAAATTTTAAATACAAATTTATTAAAAATAAAAATATTTAAAAATCATATCCTAATTTATTATATTAATTAATTCTTTATTATTTTTTATAATTTCACATTTTTTTGGCAATTTATTATAATAATTATTAAAATAATAATCATTTTCTCTTTTTCATAATAAATGAATCAGCTCATGAGTCCGCTCAAACTTAATTAATTAATCATGCTCAAGCTCAAAGCCAGAGATGACTCAAGCTCGACTCGGCTTTTTTACACCCTTGAGTGAGCATTCACGTCACATCATCAGGCTTAGTAGTTATCGCCTGTCAGGCTCAGATAACTTGTCAGGATGTTTTTCACGATTATTTAGTCTCAAATCATTTGAATGTAACTTAGTACTACTTAAATTGTAATGCAAACCTCAACTGAGCTTGTAACGAAAGTGGGCATCTAACGAGCAGATACATTATAAAGGATTTTAAAGGGCATCAAAGCTCAATTAAAAAGCTCTTTATATTTAAGTCTTATCCTTTAAGGTCAATAAACCCAGCTCAATAATGCATGTTTACATTTACAAGCGAGCGGCTTGCTTAAAACTCAATAGTTGGGCTAACCTGGCAAATGGACCAAACCTAAGTAGTCTCTTAATTTCCTATGGATTTTTAGGGTAAGCTACAATCCAAAGGCAATCACTCTAAGGTCGGGTCAACCCAAGTCATGTTAATCAAGTTAATTTGCTAACTATGACTCATTTGGGCTAATTTGGGTTTAGCTTGGGTTAAATTAAGCCAGGTTGGACCAAATGAGTTCCTAAGCTTCCTAGGTACACACTAAGGTGGCCGGCGGTTAAGGTTGTCAAAAAAGCTCATTCAGTTCACCACAATAATTAGTTGTTTAATTAATTTTTACAAGCTTATATACTCAATAAGCCAAACACAAATAAAGTCTTTTTCGATCATATTCGGCTCAATGATAGCTTGATTATGCTTATATCTGCATAAAAATTATGCACATATATGCATGTGAGCATATATGTTTGTATATTATGTATATTCATTCATATTCATACATCAATATTTGTATGGAAATATGTAAATATACATGATGATAAGTTTATTCTATAATTTTTATAACTTGAGTAGATTTAATGATCATGAATAGCTCATGTTATGCTCAATATGTTAACAACCAAGCCAAATACAAACAAAAAATTTTGACTTGTTCCCCTAACGAGCAAAGCTGAATAAAATTGGCAAGTTCAACCTCTGCTCATTTACACCCCTACATAATTGAGAAGAACACCGGCTAAAAGGAAAACCAAGCTATCAATCCAAAATGATCTTGAAATTGGCCTTGCTTTCAAATGGGCAATTTCTAGCATCCTAAATATTGATTTATCAATTTTTATTCAGTACTTGCAACACAAGGAAAGTGAGAAATGCGATAAATTACATTGTCAAATACTTCCATTTTGAAAATTTTAACTCAACCAATGTTTGAATTATTACCAGAAGATGATCTAGAGAGGGTATGATGAGTGGATGTGTTTGGCATACCAGAATTGAATATTGCATTTTGAGAAGATCCTGACGAGGGTGGATGGATAGCAGAGAGAGGAAGCCTCGGCCCAAAAGAATACATTTGCTGTCGTTGCATAAACTGTGAGTGAGGATGGGGCAAACTGTTCCCATAAACAGGAGTAAGGTTTCCCTGCCCGCTGGTGACCGGCATTGCTGTTGGTCTGAGGCTTAAATTCCCAGTTGATGCTGCTACTGAACCTGCCATACCAGTGGATCCTGCTAATGAACCTGCCAGTGTAGAAGCACCCGGCGGTGCAAAGCAGGCGGACATGAGCCGCACGCGCTCTGCTGAAATCCTTTGCCTCGTTCTCTCCGCCTGTTCACATTCCTTCAATAAAAATGTTTCCACCTCTGCAAATTGTTTTAGCTTCAGCTCCAATCTCTTTAACTGCTACAGGAAAATAAGTTGGTTTGGAAAGTTTTCAAATTTTTGCAAGTTGATGGATTCTAAGGAAACTCCTGACAGCAATAAACAGCATGCACGTCCAAACTATAACGTTTATGTATCAAAGATGGCTGAAGTCTATAGAAGATCATGAAAAACATTAAGCTGAGGAATTTTTTATCTATTATTGAATGGGTCTATTCCGCTGTTAGAAGCATGTAAAGAACTGTTTCAACATATAATTAACACGGAAGAAAAACTTTAGACAGAATAATAAAGGCCCCAGATAGTTGGAATAAGGCCAATGACAGTGGTGTTGAGAATGATTATATTGATAAATTTTCCAACTAACCAAAAAACAAAGAGGCTCCCCCGAAAATTTTGGTATCATCATTGAAGATGAGTCCGAGAATTTATTCTTCAAAGAAGTTGCAACTTAACAAAAACCAAAAAGAATTTAAATCGGTTAACACCAACTAGAACTTAGATCACTTAAAATGAACAGGAACTTCAGATTGGTTAACTCATTTAATGCAGACAAAATGTAGGGTTCAAGCTTGACAGCCATGGCATAAGAGAAAAAATTTTCAATGCCTAGTCTGAAAAAAAGTGAAACATTGCTGAATTTCTAAATCCCCCTAGCTTAATAAATAATAAACCTTTGAAACTGTTAAGATTATTCTGAGCCCTTCTTTGAAAAAGATTACTCTTGAAAGCATAAATATTACCTTCGCCAAGCCAATCTCTTCAAAAAGTCCAAATTAAAAGAATGAAGAATTGCCCATGGATTTTTATGTTGGGGGTGAAAGTAAACCACATAATGAAACAAACAAGAAAATAGAAGTGCAGTGTGGGTTCCGAAAATTCGCCGCACCCCAGCCTCTCATCACCATTGTCCCTTTCCTTGTTGTTTGACGACGAAGAGTTTTAATGAATTTAGATTCCAAGTAAATTTTCAGAAGGAAGATTGGGTTTTAGATAAGACGCTACCCAGAGATTTCGCCCTCATTTTGTGAAAACTTTATGATCTGAGTTATGATTTCCTATAGTCGCAAGCCCCAATAGTTAATTAACCCTCCCAATAATGAAAGAGAACTTTTGATTAAGGCTAGTCCTAAGATAAGCATTGAGTATCCATTTAATAGAAACAACTTAAAATTTATCGTCGTATACTTAAAACTAGTGATTGAGTGAATAAATATGAGCCAAACCAAGATCCCATGGTTTCGTCGTCCCGGGCTTTCATGTTCACTGGTCTACTTAATCAGAGGAGTTAGTCGACCCAACCTGAAAGAAGGCACCTTATCGGCAGCCATTGGTTGCTTGTCCAAGAATACCTTCTAGACTTGGGGTGATGTTTGTCAAGGGGATAGATTTGAATCCACCTTAATAAACGAAAGGATTAAAAAAAATAATAATAATAATAATAAATAATAAAAAAAAAACCTTAATAAACGAAAGGCTTTATGCATGTCAAATATACCCTATGATTCATTAATCAAGGTTTTGACGTCATTATAGAACATATAGGCTTTGACCATGATTGTAATATAATTGTGTCATTTTGTGGTAAAATCACTCGATCAGAGGGCACGTACCACATCCCTTCTAGCAAGAGACTATTTGAGAATGAATCTTAGTGATACATCCAACACGACATTATCTCTTAGTGAGCTAAAGTTAATTTCAAATTTATCACCCCCAACAAATGATTGCAGGAGGTGGATGAGCTTTAATTTTAAGTTTTAAGTTTTTAATGATTAGTTTTTGATACATCATCAAAAAATTATCTTGATCAAGCACGAATCTTGAGGCAAAATCAAGTTCGAAGCTTCACAAATTAAAATTGGGACCATCTAAACTCTGATTTCTACAAAATTACAGTCGAACTGAGCGTCTTGGAAACATGAACCCAACGACACCAAAATCGACCCAATCCGAGCCCAAAAGAGTCCAAATCGAAGACTCGAAGGATTTTTGGAAGGATCAAACCACAATTTTCGTTACCAAACGATCTCCAATCATGACATGCTTATAGTCGAATCGAGCAGCTCAACAAGACGAATCCAACAAGCCCAAGATCACCAAATTTTGATATCATTAAGACAATCAAAGATCCATTGAATGGTACATTATCGTAGGAATCAAGATCGACCGTCCGTTCGAACCACTCCCAATTTACCCTTGATCTTCCACTTATTTACAAGTCATGCCACTAAAAAATTCTATAAATAGAACCCCATTTCCTCTTGAAAGGGGGGGAAGAGCCAAGAGAGAAGAAGGAAGATGAGGAAGAAAGCTCCAGCCGCCTAGCTCCTCCTCGACCACTGCTGGAGTTCTGCCACACCATCGCTGGAGCTCTGACATAACACCGCCAGGTTCTATCGAACCACCACCAGACCATCCAAGGACGTCGAAGTGTCACCCGAAGCCAGAGTACCCCCTGACGCTGAAGTGGCACTGGCGGACCACTTGACACCGGAGTGTTACCGGACCACCACCATCTGCCGGAGTACTGTCGCCTACTACGGTCTTTCCGACCTCTATTCTATCAACTATGGTCCTGACAACCAAACAAATATGTCAATGTTGATGTGCTTTATATGATGTACATTTGTGACATCAAGCCAAGACCTCCTAAGGAAGGGCCTCATTTGTAATCAACTGTAACTACTAGTGAATTCATTCAAACTGGGCTAGGCCCCGTTGTTTTTCCTCTTTTTCAGGGGTTTCCACATAAAAACTCAGGTGTCTCTTATAAATGTTGAACCCTCTCTATCTAATATGTTTGTGTGCTGGAACTTTGTACAATGCTAAGACGTTAAACTAAATATTTCTCTACCACCGCAAATATTCCAGGACACAACAGTTTTAATTTTAAATATCTAGATTTTGGGATTTTTCCATAGTTTTATGGGTGTATGGGAGGCATTTTGAATATTTGGAATAACCCTTCCGATTGAGATCTACGTTCAACACATCCATCATTGAGGTGACGTTAAAGTCACTTGTATTTTTGTAGAAATTTAAGAGGCATTTTATGATTCAAGTCAGGTCAACTCCAGTCCTTTCATCAAAGAGGACGAAACTTGAATATTTGACTCGTGCATTATTCTCGAACTATTGGATTTAGAAATCAGATGTGACGATCGGAGCACATGCATGACATATTTAGTATGTAAATAAATTGTTATGTAAGTAAGCATTTGACCCTGTGCCTCATTCTGTGGGCTCCAAAAATTCGGCCTCGGCCTCTGCCCGCTTGCTTTTCTATTCCGAGGAGTTTTAAAGGATTAAGTTCCAGCGTAAATTTTAGAAGGCAGGTAGGTTTATAGATAAGACACTACCTAGAGATTTCACCCTCATTTTGCGAGGACTTTATGATCTGAGTTCTGGTTTATTATAGGCGCAAGCCTCTACAGTTAATTACCCCTCTCGCTCACGAGAGAGAACTTTCGATTAAGGCTAGTCGTCAATAAGATACATTGTATCCATAAATACATGATATTAGGCATATAGTAGCAGCATGAGTTTGAGAATTGGAAGTTCAAAGTTTGATATTTAAAATTAGAAATTGCATTATATTGCACTTAAAGCGGATGGTGGGGAAATGGATGATGGGCCCGATCAAGATCTCATGGTTCCGTCGTCCCGGGGCATCGTGGTCCCTGGTCTACTTAGTCATAGGAGGTAGTCGACCAAACCTGACAGAAGGATCCTTGCCGGCAGCCATGGGTTGCTTCATCCAAGGGGACATTATAGACCTGGGGTGAATATTTGTCTAAGGGGACATTTGAATCAACATTAGCTAAAGGAGAGCTTTGAGCCCTATTGACTGATTTGGGTTGAAATTGAGTCTGGATTGGACTCGACCCGAACCGATTTGGGTCAGTTTGGGTCCGATCAATTTAATTTTGCAAAATTAAACTTGAATATGCGTCGAATTGCGACGAATTGGACCCGACGACGCTCGACGGGGTTTGATTTAGATTGATTTGATTTAAATTAAATTAAATTTGACTTAATTTAATTAAATTGGGGTTTAATTTGAGTCGATTTTGTCTAGACGACGATCGATCGAGTCGATCAAGCATGAGTCGGGCTCGATCGGGGTCGGGTCGATACGAAAATATTCGTCAAAACTATACCTTAGCAATTTTGCATGCATAGCATCGCATAGTAATTTTTATTCACTGTTCTTTTCTTGCTGCCCTCTAAATTCCTGCACCGTTTACATCACTTTAATTAAGTCTATGCCATTTTTTAAGTGTTGTCCTTGTCGCAATAACATCCCTAGTTGTCTAGGCTACTTAAACAGTCATTATGGCTTGCTGTCCAAAAAATTTCTGCAGCATTTAGAGAACTTTTGGTGATCCTAACCTTACGTTTAGGTGCTGTCCACACTCTAGAAACCTTCCTAAACACTTAGACAACTTTATGTCATGCTGTAGTTTGCTGTCCACTTCATTCCTGCACACATCTAGTGAACTGTAGACTAGCTTCTTAAGCGTTTAGGTGTTGTCCTCAACCTAACAACCTTCCTAAGTGCCTAGGTTACTTAACCCACTAGTGTAGCTTGCTGTCCAAACAATTTTTGCACCTTTTAGTGAGTTTAAGTGAGCCTAACTTAGTGTCTCAAAGACGTCCCTGACACCCAATCATCTTTGAGTGTCACTTGACGCTTCCCAATAGACCCGATAAGACTCCAAAAGAGGTTAGATGACATCGTTAACCTAGTGGACTCTATCACTAGAATTATGACGGAGAAACCTGTTGACTCTCCCCACTCTAAGTACGTACCTTTTCGATCAATCCTTGCTAGTCGGAAGATGCCCCACTCTGTTTTTCAACCTAGACCTGAGTTTAAGCCACAACGACCTCACTTAGAGTCACCTTACCGTCTGCCCACCTTTGATAGTTCCTCGGACCCTTACTACTTTAGGGAATGGGTTAGACAACTAGAGGACTATTTTGAATCATGTCATATCCCTGAGTCCCGCCAGATT